GTTGGCTCAAAATTGGCTGGACATTGAATGCACATTGAATGGCTGTTGTAGGCCTACAAGTCCTACTGTTGCCCACAGTACAATGCCACGATTTCCCGATTTCGACAACGGAAAAACTTTTCCCGATGTGGGACGATTTTACCTTACTGGCCCTAGCCAAAGGCTTTATCAGAGTAGCTGGCAGTATTAAGCTACCTATTCAAGGCATTGGCCTTGTTAGACTAAGGTGTTAACTACCTGATAGTTCTACCACAGTTAGTGAACTAACCAAGACTCTCTATAGTAGTAAGCTTTACAACACCTGCCTGTTTTCCTAGACCTTAGTGCAATAATAGTACAATCTATTAGGAAAGGTAACAATATCTATCTCCTTACTAAGCATAGCTAACTAGCACTATGGGCTAAGTACTAGGGCGGCATTATGTGACTACAGACTAAGTCACCACTAGCTACCTAATCACCTAAGGATGTTATCGCCTTATAAGCTATTAAGCTAGATGTTACTACAAAGACAGCGTCTAGTTCAACCTCTAAGCTTGTAGTTAGAAATTTTACATCCTACAACAACTTCTATTAGTTAATTAGTTACCTTGTTATCTAAAATCCTAAAAGGATCTACGCTAATAGACACCTTGTACCTGCTAGACCTACTAACTTTAATTACAACTTATGCAATGTATCTAAGTCTACACACACTTAACTAGTTGCGACACACAGTTGCTTAACTAAGCTGTTTAAAGTCATCTATACAGACCTCTTAGGCAAGTTCTTAAGGCCCTTACTTAGAGGAGCCTGCTACTACATATTATTTATTAAAGATTTAACTTAGGCAACCTAGGTTAGATTCCTTAAACGCAAAGCAGACGCCCCTTACGCAATTAAGGACTTTATTGCCTATATTAACACACAGTTTTGTACTTAAGTAATGTAGATCTTAGCTGTCTTACAACTTACTAGGTTAATTATAGCATAAATTAAGTTAGACAACAGTGGCAAATACACGTCTACTAATCTAAAGGCCTACCTTTGCAAGGAAGGGATTAAGGAGAACCTAGTCCTACCTTATTACTATAAGCTTAATAGCATACTAGAAAGGTTTAACTAGACAATTATGCAGATAGCTTAATCTATAATCCTATCTAACAACCTACTTATCCTTTAGGCTGAGGCAATACAAACTGCCACGTACCTCAAGAACTGTGCTCCACACTTAGCTAACAAGCTTCATCAGACTCCATATGAACTACTTCATAGCATCAAGCCCTACGTCGGTCACCTCCATCTATTTGGAGCTGACTGCTACGTCCACGTTCTAGTTAAGGCTCGCAAGCCTAGGACTAAGTTGCTCAACTAGGCAGAGAAAGGTATCTTTGTAGGCTACAGCTGCAACAACAAAACCCTTTGTGTCTATGTCCTAGCCAGAAATGTTGTCCTTGAATCACGCAACGTCCACGTAATCTAGTTAAAAAATTGGTTTTCAACATCTCTGTTCCAGCTCAAATCCTCACTCAAGAGCCCTTAGCTAGCTTTAGGGGACACAAGAGCTAAACTAGAATCACACACCCTACAACAGTCCACTGACTTGATTAAGTCAACACTAACACCAGCACGACTGCAGGCCCCAACCGCACCTCCACCCACGAGGAGCTTGCGCAGCCGATCAAATATCCAGAGGCCAGAGCGATACAGAGATGACGCAAACGCTGTCGACGCCCCTATAGATGATATTCATTATGAGCAACTTGAAATAGCTCATGCCATGATCACCATAGATGACATGCCAAGCACGTATGCTGAAGCTATGACTGAACTAAACAAGCCCCTTTGGCAACTATTAATACAACATGAAATTAAGGCTTATAAAGATAATAATACATAGGAGTTAACTAACACAATAACTTTGCCTCTAAACGTGAAACTAGTTAGCACATAACGTAAATACTAAGCGAGTGAGCCATCGAAGCGAGTGAGCCACCCAACCAACTTTGCGCACCTTTACAATCATATATCTCAACAACGTGATAATGTAATGTTTAGATATTTATAGAGTAAATTAAGCAGTATCTAAAGTATCTTTTTTGCACGTACGCGAGTTGTGTCCAGTCTCTCTGCACCTCTTGCAGCGCGCGAGTGCCTGGCGGCTGCGGCCTAATTGCTCTCCTCCTTGACGCTCTTCACAAGCAATCTGCTGATCAGCCTCACGTTAAGCGAGTATATCCTCTCTAGCTCCCTTTGTTAAGATCCCACACTGCTGTATACGCCTTATTTTACGCTGTTTGCGCGCTGACGCTGCCTCATTAGCCTTCTCAAGGCTGGTAATCTGATCGCGCATCAGCTCAGCTAAGAGCATCACTACCTCAGCACCCTTCTTGAGCTGGTTAATCGCCTCAATGATTGAAGCTGGCGATGAGCTCTTGTGCCGCCGCACGCGATCGCGTATTAACGTTGATTGAGCATCAAGTTCACGTACGTTGCTTGGCGTACGAGCTTCCCAGAGAGCCTCTGGCAGAGTATCTAGAGTAGGTGTACGTAGCTGCACGTCAAGCTTTGAGAGCACAGCGTCTGGTTGGAGAGGCACAAGGCCTGTACCTCAAAAGGCTGAGCAGATATTGGCTGAGGTGAACGATTGACTGAACGCTGCCTTAAAGGCTGGCAGGAACTCAAGCTTGGTGATATGGTTGATGTGGTGGCGGATGAGGCTCTCAACCTCACGGCTATACGCGCGCTTCAACGGCGAGAAGCAGCCAACGTCAAGCGGCTGCAGTAGATGGGATGAGTGAGGCGGCATGCAGAGCGTATAGGTATTGTTCTCCTTGCAGAGCTCTTGAAACTCAAGAGAGTGGTGGCTCTCATGGCCGTCAAGGACGAGCAGGCGACGCGCACCAACAACGCGAGTCTTTGTGTGAGCGTTGAAGTGCTTCAGCCACTCTACTCCTAGCTTGTTGTTTGTCCAGCCATTGTCGCTAACTGCGATTACCCAGTTGCGTGGGATCTCTGCTTCCTTGTACCAGGCAGATAGATGATACTGGCCAGCGAAGATGAGGAACGGTGGGACTGACCAGCCAGCAGCGTTGATTGCAGCAATCGCCGTCACCCACTCGCGATTACCTGGCTGAATAGCCTTAGGCCTGCCTCTTCTTTCTAACCCTGTTACAACAAGTTAAGTTGTAATTTTGCCTATTATAAAGCTAGCCTTGTTAAAGTTGTACACGTCATTATCGCAGATGCCGTACTTGGCCTTTGTCTCCTCTACAAGCTCAAACTAGCTCCTAATTAGAGCTAGATCCTCGCATAGAGCTCTCTGCCTATTGTATGCTCAATTGAAACGCGTCCTAAGACTGTCCGTACGCTTGACAAAGTTGCTTGGCCAGTCTCTGCCTACAGGAGAGCTACCACGCGCTAAGAGTAGCTTATCAGCCATATCACGTACAGCTGCGTACGTAGGCGAAAACCCACGTGTATCTAGATCTAGTATATGCTTTACTATTACCTCCTCCTCTTGCTTGGTAAGCTTCTTTGAGTTAGGCTAGCAATTACGTCTAGCAGGTTTGCTAGCGCGTCAGCAGTAGAGGGTAGCGCAAGAGACTTTAAACATTACTGCAGCGCGCCTTTTAGTCTAAATTTAATTTACATTAAGAGCTAAGATTATAAGGTGTATATCAGTCTTACAAGAAGCGTGTTAGGCTATGTTTAGTGGAGCTATAGTCGATTTATAGTTGTAGGGTATAGAAATTTGGTGGGGTGGCTCACTCGCTTCGATGGTTCACTCGCTTAGTATTTACGTTATTAGGTTATAGCAGTTAAGAAAGAAAAGCATGGCAACATTGTTAAACAAAAGGCAAGGGTTGTTGCCTAAGGATTCTCTTAACAACCTAGAGTTAACTATAACAACACCTACTTACCTGTTATTTAATATAACAGCCTCTAACTTATTATCTTTATTGCTAACTTTAAGGGCTGGCTCCTTAGACAGATTGACTTTGATGTAGCATACCTTAACAGATTGCTACAACACGTCATCTATGCCCGCTGCCCACCTAGGGTTGGCTGTCCTGGCTAAGTGCTCTAACTCTTTAAAGCCTTATATAGTCTTAAGCAATCTAGTTGCAAGTGGTACTTAGTCCTATTAACATAGCTGACTAGCAACAGCTTCACTTAAGCCACCTTTAATCTATGTGTCTTTATCTTAGACAACCTCATTCTAGGTATGTACGTGGACGACCTGCTCCTCACTGGAACAAGTGACGCAATAACCCAGTTCCTGGATCTTACCCATAAACGCTTTAGATTTAAGGACCTTAGTTAACTAAAACTCCTCCTAAGTCTAGAGTTTAATTACCTAGACAATAGAGTTAAGCTTCACTAACAAACCTACACTAAGGCTGTCCTCTAGCATTACTAACTTAACTAATGCAATAGTTAACTTATACCTCTAGATCTAAACAGCTTCCCTTAATAATCCCTGTCTAATTAACTAATTAACCTAGAGCAATAGAAGCTGCATTAATCTATTATTAGATCTGTTAACTTCCTTGCTATAGTTAGCTAACCTGACTTGTCCTTCTCTGTTAGTATGCTGGCCTTATACAATAGCAACCTATCTAAAGTACACGTTAGTCTAGCTTATTAATTGCTTTAATACGTTAGGAAGACGTCTAAATATAGTATTAAGATTACTAACACAACTAATATTGTCTAAGTTACTATGTACATAGATGCCTTATTTAATACTAATCCTAACAATACTAAATCCTTTTTAGGTTACATTATAAAGGTTAACAAATTAATAATCTTGTGGTCCTTAAAACAACAGTCCTGTGTTGCTTAATTAACCTGCGAAGCAGAGTACATGGCCGCGTCTTGGGCTGCTAGCTATTTAGTCTAGGCCTAACAAGCCTTGAGCGAGCTAACTAGAATTAAACTAACAAGCGACTTGTTAGTTAACAATAAGCCTGCTAAATCCCTTATTAAAGACAACAAGATTAGCAACTACATTGGGAAAAGTTTTTCGAAATCCAGCCCAGACTAGCTGTTGCTGACAGTTGTGGCATAGTTGTGCAACAGCTGTTTAACAGCCCTAACAGCCCTAATTTGCGCCTAATAGCCCTAATTTCGCGCTAATATTACTAACAGCTAAAACACTAAGTGCCTGTATTTAATAAACTTAAAATAATATTGCAATATTATTGTATAGCTACCCTTAGTTCTACTAGCACTAGTATTAAATATTTAAAAATTACAAAATTTCACGTACAGATAGAGCGAAATTATAGCTTTAAAATAAGTAAGAAATTATTATTATAGGCCTACTGCAACACAAGTTATAGAGTGTTGAAGGTTTGTTTATTAAAGGTTTGTGTTTTGAAGTTGCGACAGCACACTATAGCAGCTGCAGCTGCGCCAGCACACAATGTATCAGCTGCAGCTGCAACAGCACACAACACAGCACCTGCTAACAAACACACACAAACACACACAAAACAGCAGCGCAACAGGAGCTTGCAGAACAGGCAGGCCTAGGCGTAAAATTCTTAGTTTACCTACTATTCTTGAATAATATTCTTATATTTTCTAATGTTTAGGCTGCTAGAGCCCTAGCAAAGAATCTTAACTTAGTGTCCTTGTAAGGAACATTAAGCTTAAAACCTTCTACGCTTAATAACTATTCTATTAATAGGCCTATAATATTGTTTAATAGCTTATTTTAAAGAGGAGACTTAGTAGTATTGCTCTCTCTGCAGTCGCAACTACCTCTGGCAGTGAGACGATGCTTATTTGGGACTAGCACTGTTTACGGTCACTCACCTATATATACTGTTCGTAGCCTCACTCAACACAAAATTAATAAAATTACATATTTCAACATCAACAACGAGCAGAAGCGCGAGCGTTTGGAGTAGGCGCTTGCCCACAACCCTGATAAATACGAGTATGGAGATAGTAAAGGATTTGATTTTACTGAGGTTGTGTTTACTGACAAGACTCCAGCTCGCATTGGTGAGGAGCGCGGCATGCAGAGGGTATGGTGTAGGGATGGCGAGCAGTACGATGAAGGAGTTAAAAAGGATTGCAACCACCACACTTGTTGCCTACAATTCTACAGAGCCTTTTATTATAACTATAAGGGCCCTTGCTATACCTACTTTAAAGAGACAGCAGCACAAAAACAGTTAGCAGAGGAGGCGTTAGTGAAGGAGAATGCATAGCGCAAGCACGACGACAACACACTCTAGGGCAACATGCGCAAGGCACTTGCAGTAATGCAAGAGAGCGATGTTAATCACTATTACAACACTAGAAAGAAGCAATATGTACCCTCTTAGCATGACTATAAGCGTAGGGGGCGTGATAATAGGGGTGTTGATGGGTACAGGCATCGCGAGGGTGCACTCAAGAGCATTACCCCATAGATCAATTCACTCAAAAGGAAGGGATTACGCTGTGTACTACTACAGGATAGGGCTCCAGCTCACAAATCACGAATAGCCCGCGATTACTGTACTGTAGAGCGCATAGAGCGCATGTGGTGGCCCAGCCACTTACCCGACGTTAATGCATCTGAGCATGCCTGGCTAGACTGGCGGATGGGTACCATGTACCTAGGGTAGGGTATAGGTAGGGTATAGGTCGCACGGACGTAGGTATAGGTAGGG